GGTACGCTATTAAAATCTCCATTGAAACTTTTTTGTTAATACATATTGTTTTTAAACTAATTTTTAACGCCAATAAAATATGAATTTTATGTCGAATCTATTTTCTTTTTCGAATTTAGCGCACCCTAGCGGTTCCATATATTGCAAATCTGTACTGGAGTCGCCTATATGTATATACTTTGGAATTGATATGCAAAGCAATATGGATATATTTTGGGCTTTACAGAGCCCAATATTCATATATAATTTTTCGAATTTGGCATCGATATTGGGAATATCGAGTCTTTTTATCCCGATATTTTTACATCGATCATTGTTAGATGAACTTTAACGGCAGAGCTGGAACTTTTCATGTATACTAATTACAAAATCGTTTTTTAATGTAGAGAGGGGCACGACGAAGGATATCCATTCGAATTTATAGCGGCATTCGGCTCTGATAGCTAGATATACGAATTAGTATTTAAGATAGTCGTATGATTTGTGAAGGAAAGTATTCTTAAAAGAAAAATAATTTAAATAACTAAGCTCATGCAATGAAGGAATCTCAGGATATTTGGTTATCCTGGCTGCGTTGGCGATAGTCACGAAATCCATCAGTGCCTACTATTGTATACTCTCAATCATTTTCGCCAAGAAATACACAGTTGTGATACCAACACGACAGGATTGGTACAGCAAACCTCGTCATACATATACCTGATGTCATTAACATACAGACGCCTCCAAGGGGAAGAAGTTTTCTCATCAGATAAGATGTCTTTTCGAATCCATGAAACTTGGAGTGGAGTCTCGTTCAAAGCTCCAAAGGAAAGAAATACATACATTTTAGTCTCTCTCCAAAGGTTTGATACTGGCTATATAAAACCATCCTGTTATGTGGGATCATTCACTAGGAACGTATACTGTTGTCAAGGCTGTCCCCAAACGGATCCCTCTCCACACACATCCCTCCGAGGGGCGAATCGGAGCACGACCGCCTATGGAGTATAGGTCCAATAAATGTCTTCACGGACAGACCGAAGCTGGATGGCTGAGTTGGAGGTGGTGTTTTCTGTTAGCGTCTTTCAGGCGAAGGTGGCTACACACCAACATTTTGCCGATCAGAAGGATAAATATCTACTCTGATAGCCAAGCGGAAATCAGGTCTAGAGGCCTTAACCTCGAACAAGAAGGTCATAGGAGTTTCTCTAGAAACTTGCGGCCTGTTTCTGGACAGATGTGCTTATAAAAACCTCGACATGAAAAGTTTCAAGCTCCTTCTGGCCAGTTCTTGACCGCTAAGTGCCAGATCTCGATACTTACAGTTGTACTGACCGGACATTGTCCTTTAGGAACCCATTTGATGCGATTTATTATCATCACGCATCCCTACTTCAGCAGCTTTTTGTAGGTCGAAGTGGAATCATCAGCTAGACTAGGTTTAAAAACCCCGTCGCGCATTTCATAAACACTCTCGAGTAACTCTCCAATTTATGCTGCGTGCCCTGATGTTGGGACAAAAATGGTGGGACCTGCAGTTTCACGCCGAAAGGCAAATGGATTAAGGTGAGACGATTTTTTTATGACAGAAATGCACTCGGACGTTCACTATTTCCTGCTGAGGGGCTACTACTGTCAGACAAAAACTTTTTCTAATTAAGATACTGCACACACCCGGGTTCGAACCCACCGCTGCGAAGCGGAAGTACGCTCTTCTAACATTTCAGTCACCTAAGTCACTTTGCATTGGCCAACGCAAAAATTCTTTTCAGGCGCCTCGACGCACGTCGGGTATTTGCTAGTATTGTATGTGTATATCTAAATAGTTAAGTACATACATACAAAGTTTTTAGCATTTGAAAGAACTCTAAAATACTTCTAAAACCACTTGAGTTTTTTCACAAGTCTACAGACATACGTATGCGCATGCAAATAGTCGTCTTTTTATTATAGCGTAGATTATACTATATTTCCGTATTGCGTCTATAATTTCAGCGCAAATTTTCTTTATAAATACACACGTAAATTTACTGCATATAGGAATCGCATACTGCCAATTGCTTTCGTTGAATATGCCGACATTTAAATATGTAAATATACACATATACATATGTAGAAGCACAATGGCGCAGACAGTGAGGGGGAGAGTAGCGATGTTGAAAATGGCTTATAAAATAAGTATTTAAGCAATACATATTTTAGTTTCTTACAGACTGTTAGTATCAAATGAAATTTTATATTGCTTTAAATACACGTGTATATGCAGTTGAAAAAATTATGAGTAAAGGCTGGCGCAATCCCTTCAAATTTACTTGGCAATGTATGGCAATCAAAGCGCGAGATGCCAGTAATGGTGCAATCATGGATGCCAGTAGGAATGCCATAAGGTGTCCTACAAATACTTAACTTAAATGGCTTATAATGCCTTGAAGGCCTTGAGCGAATACAAAATGTGATCTGGTTCGGTAGAAAGGCACTACTAACCATCCCGTCCAAGAGCTTAATAATGAACAAAATCCCGACTATATCTCTACGACTGTAAAGTGTTGGCAAATTTATAGCTTCAATCGGCTTTTGTATGATGGGAGATTTAAGGTCGAATGCCATGACAAATTTTTTAATGAAAATACTAAAATTTTTTTCTGTACCAACTCAAGTCTGTCAGAATGCAGGTGAAGAGAGCTTTAGTGACTCACTTTAGATTATATTATTGACAAGAATAAGATTAGAATTGGTTACCTAAAAAACGTATAATTACAAACACTTTAATAGCCTGTAATTTTTATTAAAGGCAATTTCGTTTTTCAACTTGAGAAAAAACACATTCCGAACTTACTTATAATCCATTGATTTGATCGCGAGAATTGTAAATTATTCTAACTTTGGAAAAGTAGTCGAGAATAATATTACATATTTATCACCATGAAAATAATAATTTTTTAAAATATTAAAGACATTTTCAAACATAAGTAGTATCGATGTTGGGCATTAAATGAAAAAAAAATATATATTTTTAATTTTTTGAGTCTCCATAGAGGCATCTTCGATCCCTTTGCGACGCGCCTTAACCGACTCCAATGGGACAAAAATTTATAGATGAAAAAAAAAACAAAAATAAATTTAATTTTTGGAGTCTCTGTAGAGGAATCTGAACTTTTCCCCCTGTGCGATAGGCCTTAAGCGTCTCCAATCGCGACCAAAATTTATATGTGTTATCTGTATCCGTGATATTACCGATTGAGGGGGTGAGACTGAAAAAATCCCTCATACAATTTTAAGGACCACCCTAATGTACATATCTATATTGTAAAACACTATGGACATTCGAGAGGTTTTATGTGCAATTAATATTTTTGTGTAAAATGATGACTATTTGTGTCCTGATGGCTTTCGTGCGCGCACCGGGTATGATTCTAACCCCCCGCTCCCCCATTGTGATTGGCGAGCTACGTCACTGCATATGTAGACACATGCATACGATGGCGAGGTTGTTTTTATATGCAGTTTTATTAAATGTAATTTTGTGATTTTGCTGTTGTAGGCATTGTTATTGCCTTACTATCATTTTCATAGGAGTTTTTTTATTGTACATGCATAAATAAGTAGGTACATCATACGTTGTAATTTGTTGATAATTCAATGATAGCATACATTGGATTTTATGAATTTTTGTATGTAAATACTTGTATGTGGTTGATATGAATTTTCTGTTATCAGCGCGGTGACCACAAGATCAACCTTTACTACATTTCCTCTCTCACTTGCCAATTGCCAGTTATTTTTTGATCATATTGTAGCGATTCGCGTGTTTTGTTGTTTAAAAATTCATTATCAAATTCAACGCGAGGGGATTTTCAAAGATTATACGACTGAGATTTGATAATTTACGACGCGCCGCCGCACAGTGGTTCAAAACTGGAATTTAGTAGCCTTAATTTTTCACTCAATTCCATAATTTATTTTTCAAATAGAAGCTAATAAAATTTGCAAGAGACCAGTTGTGCCGGTTTTTGGAATTTTTGTTTGTTTGTAATAATTTTTTTAGTGCAAAGTGCAGAAAAAGTTGCAATTTTGAAGAAACTCGATTCTCCCAACACAAAAAAATAAAAAAATAAAATAAATTGAAATGCCATAAAAAATTATTTAATTTGGTGACAACTTTTTATAAAGCATAAACATTTTTTTTGTGATTTTTTTTTTTTCGTTTCGGGGGCACTCTAAAATTGTTTTCAACTCGTTTTTACTATGTAACATTTATTAGCTGTAATAGAAGAATCGATTTTTTTCAAAATTTGCTACGTTTTTTTTGCACTTTGCACTAAAAATTAAATATAAGCAAACAAAAATTAAAAAATCGGGCTCAACTTGTCTCTTGCAAATTTTTGAAAACAAAACTAGTGAAATTGAGTGTAAAATGAAGGCTCCAAGGAATCGTGAATACTAAATTCCTGTTTTCAGCCACTGTGCGCCGGTTTGCCGCATTTCTACGAAGATTATTCGGCGTTTAACAAAAATGTCAATGGCTTCAGTGGAAATAGGCAAACAAAAAAAATATCTAATAATCATTGGGTTTCAGTTGACTGAGAGCTGAGGTTAAGTAAAGTAAAAGCAAAAGATGAATAAAAACTATTGTGTATCTGTTTAAATTACTTGACACAAGTAATATTCGCGTCTACTCAAATAAAAATACTATAAACTTACCTACGATGTATTCTCACGCCACTCCCTTTTTTGCTGAATCTACAAGCTAAATATGTATATTGTGGTTTAAATATAAGTAAACAAATTATGTGTAGTAAACAAAAAATAAAACATTAATGTACATACATATGTACGTATGTATGAATGTATGTATGTAACAGTAGGAATAAGTACGGGGCATTAACAAGTGCAATATTTTTAGCGATAAAGTGTGTATGCAAATATATGCAAAACACGAACACACACAGACACATTTTTTTATATGCATACATACATACATACATACATATTTATGCATCTTTATATATTTGATACAGCAGCATTATTTACGATTTTAATTCGCATACAGCAGCCGTAATTAAATTAACAGCAGCAGTAAACTGAACAAGTGCCCCTGAACGCATATGAATGGATTGCGCAAAAAACGAAAAAGTAATAGTCATATTAAAAAAAAAAAAAAATAAAAAAAATAATAAATTATATATTGTGTATACATTCTACATTATCAGTGTTTGTCAAAAGTTGAAACGTCAATAAATTTCTCGAAGCAGTGGAAATTCGCTATTATTCAACAAGTGCTAATCAAATTTGCTACAAATAGGATTCAACAGAATTCGCATTTGGAAGTTGGTGGCGAACATATGTATTAAAACGAAAATGCTGTGCATAACTAAATAAGTGATGGTGAGTTTTTTACGCCTTTGTTATTATACAGATATATATATGTATATGTAAATAAGTATCTAGTATTAATTTTTAAGTTATTTAGGGGCCGTTTTCACCATCTCTGGTTAACACTAATCTCCAGTTAAACATTTTTACCTAAGTTACCAACCCAATATTAAATGAATGTAGTCAGTACTGTCGTTAACGATGTTTAACAGGGATTAGTGTTAACCAGAGATGGTGAAAATGTCCCTTAGAAGGCTTGTGCTGCTTACAAAATAATATGTGCCTAAGAATGTATATGTATATCCATAAGACCATAGTAAATATCCGCTTCTGATCATCAACAGATATTTTATTAGCTTCCCAATAATGGGAACCTACAAAATTGTAGCATAAAAATCGACTGCAGAGGAGGCACGGACTTGGTAAGTGGTTCAAAACTCTTCAAAGGGATGATGCATGTCTATCCTTCTATCGCAAACAGCCCTAAATACATACGGGGCGCGAAACAGTATAACATGTCTAAATCAAAGGAAAATTCGTTGAATCCGGCATTGTGTTCTTGCACCACTGTTATGGATAGTAGCACCGAATGGCAAGCATATTGTTAGGAGCCAAAAGAGGGGCGTCAATCTTGAAGCATTATAGCAGCTACAGGTACTTTCACCCGTTAACGAAATACTCGAAAGAACACTGGCGAGATGATAAACGCTCTAACCCATGTAACCGGAGCTCACGTAGACAATATAAGATTGTCATTTGTAATACCACAATTTGGAATAGCTCCTCGGGACTATTTAGAAAGTGGGAGCCAAAGTACTTCAAACTTAGCCTCGCAAATGCTGGGAACCTAAGAAGGTAGTGTTGAGGTGATTCTACCTCGTCCTCTTCCAGGCAACTGCGACATAAGGGGTCCGGTAGAAATTTCAGCCTTACTGCGTGAATACCGATAGGACAGTGATCCGTTAAAACCCCCACCAGAAGTTAGAGCTGTGGCTTTGTTAGTGTGGGGAGTGCCCTCGACCGCCCCTGGTGCACCTTCGGCCAAAAGGAGCTTGCGATCGCGCATGTCGTGGTATTCGCCTGCCGTTCGCTGAGCTGACATGAGGCCCATCTATCCAAGAGTGTACCGCAAGTAATCAAGGGCACCCCCAGCCGGTTTTTATCTGGTGATACCGTTTCACGGGCCCCTTCCCCAGCTCATCAGCCACGCAGTTCCCCCCAATGTCGCTGTGACCCGGTACCCAAATAAGCCTAATGTAGAAGTATTCTGACGCGGCCGAAAGAGAGAGCAGACATTCCTTAACCAAGTTGGAGCGCACCTCTAACGAACTCAAGGCCCTTGGCTTCAGAATATACGCTATCTTCCCTGACTGTATGAGGCTCCTTAGCAGTGAATCTACCGCCTCCTTCATAGCAGCTACTTCCGCCTGGAATACACTGCAGAAATCCGGGAGCCTGAACTTAGTGCTGATGGAGAGCTCTCGACAGAAGACCCCTCCACCAACCCTGCCGTCAACAGTCGATCTCTCCGTAAAGAAGTTCACCGCAACCTTCCTCATCCCTTGAGGGAAAGTGGGCAGGGAAGAAGCCCCTAGGAGTCGTATCAGTGGTGCAGTAATCCGTACGATCCGGCATGAAATCGAAGCTCCCTAGAACTCCAGAATGTCCAGTCCCTAAGTTGGTCAACCAATCGGTTTCCCTGAGTCTAATAGCCGTTTGCGCCGCGACAATTCTGCCTGCAACGTCGACAGGCGATACGTTTAACAGTGCCCCACTAATACCAATTAACACAGCCCGTTGTACGCGTTCCAGCTGCTTAGCTAGTGTCCAGTGAGTTCCACCAGACTAGGGCACCATAAAACATATGTAATTGGCTTGACTACGGTCTCGTAGAGCCAGTTGACAACTTTATCCCCAATCAATATCAATATCTCCCCCTACTGCAATACAAGACCACTGATGCCTTTCTTGCCCTTTTCTCGATGTTTGACCCTGTCAGACAGCTGTAAGCGCAGACCTCCAACCGAGGGAAGCACAGCGGCGGGGATTTTATATTTCCTTGTGAATAATATCAGTTCTGTCTTACTGGGGTTGCCAGCGAGGTCACTTTTGGGTCAGTTTATACAGCGTGTTCAGGTATTAGGAGTTCAACATCGTCTGCATAGGCAATTACCCGACAGCCGTGCTTTTTCAGCTCCACTACTTAGTAGCTCGTTCACCACGACGACCCAGAGAAGGGGTCAGGGAACCCCTCCCTACGGGGTGCCCCTGCTCACCATACAAAGCAAGCAGGCGCTGCCCCAGACGGCCATGACAGTTCTGTCACGCAGATGAGCCTAATGAGACTGACCTCAACGCCAAGCTTATCTAGCGACTTAACTATTGCGTCCGGCAGCACATTATTAAAAGCCCCCTCGATATCGAGGAAGGCTCCTACGGCAAAGTCCTTGTGAGTGAAGGCTTCCTCTATACACCTCACATTTGTATGCAGAGCAGTATCTACCGACCTTCCTTTACAGTAAGCATGCCGAGCTCTACACAGGCGATCTCGAGAAATCATGCTCCTTATGTGCATGTCAGTCAGCCTCTCCAAAGTTTTCAGCAGAAATGATGAGAGGCTGATCGGCCTGAAGTCCTTGGGGGCAACATGATAGCTCCTTCCGGCCTTCGGGATGAACACCACCATGACGACCCTCCCCTCCAACCCCCTGGGAATGCACCCGCGTTAGAGAAGCTCGCGTAGATTGGGGCCAGCCAACGGCACGACACCTGCGCAGGTATGATGCCGGTATGATGACGAATTAATCGCCCCCGCAAAGTGGCGCTCATCCAGGAGGTCAGAAAAAGCAGCGCAGTCTCCACGTACTTCCCCCAAGGAGATTTCCTCAGGGCAGGGATTGGAAGGAAAGTGAGTATCCAGGAGCAATCTGAGCGACCCCTCGCTACTCATAGTCCAATGTTCTGCTTCATCCCTCAAGTAACCCAGCGGAGCAGGACTCCTAACGAGAATACGTCTAAATCTAGATCATTCATGACACCCTTCAACGTTTTCGCAGAAAGACCTCCATGAAACCTTTTTTGCCTTTCTTATTTCTTATCTCGTACTTGTAGATTCCTAGTCCAACCTTATAGAGTTCCCAATCAGAAGACAACTTCCTCCTACGGGCCCTATTGGAAAGTCGTCTGCTCGACGCCCTTAACTCAGAGAGCTCCGCAGTCCACCAAAGGGGTTTCCCTCTGCCTTTCTGAAATCTCAGCGGATATGCGCTTTCAAGAGCATCCCTGCACACTGAGCTGATAACTTAAAAAAGCTCCTCCAGCGAGTCTACCGTCTACACAGAATTTGGTTCTGGCGCATCAGGGAGTACTCCACGAAGGTTCCTGCTATACAGATTCCAGTTGGTGCTCCACAGGCTCCTGAAGGGCTTGCTTTCACTAAGAATAAACTCAAAAAGTGATTCACCTCGCAAATTTGTATCCGAGCTGCCCCAAACTGAGTGCCTCGAGTTCGCATCGGACCCCAAGATCACGCCAGCTTTCCCTCGCTTGGCTTCCGCTAGAGCACTCCTCAGCATCATTGGAGGTGGCTTTGCCTTGTCATCGTACGGCATGTAAGCGGATATTAGCCAGAGTTCTCCAGCTTCTCGTCTAGTGGTTAGAACCATACGAGAGACATATGTAACTTATACCACAATTAAATTTACCATTGCTGGACACCGGGAAATTCTCATTGTATTCCAGCGCAAAATAACTCTGTGTTGCTGGGTCTCCACGTCTGGGAAATGATACCATCATCACCCAATCGAAAGATCATTGAAACCTGTAAAACCTAAGGTCATAAGGTAAATACGATTGAAGTATGAAAACCGCTTCTAGCAAAAGGATTTCTGGATACCGCATCTAAGTTGATCAAATAAGGTTTAGCGGCTCAGTCAATGAATGTCTAAATCGCCGCGGTTCTGAGGGTCAAGTAGAGTATACAACTTCCGCGGCCACCTGAACACATTTCCTTTTCTGGTCGAAATTTGCTTTTGAAATATATGTTCAACTTTAAAAAAGTGGTTTACAGCATGAAAAGGAATTAGTTTTATCTGCTGTTTGTCCAAACGAGACCTTATATAAGGCTCATCCCGTTGTACAGAGCATTTACCGCTTAAATACTTCAATGTATTCTACGCCTATTTTTTTTTAATCTCTATCTTGTTATCAAATAAAGTCTCCAGAAAACTCGTATCCCAATATTTTCCAATATAAAGATGTATGTATGTAGGTAATTTTTTTTTACTATTTAACAAAGTCAAATGCAGCAGCAGTACTCCCCTTTCGTAAGAATCCGTTTCCACCCTCTCTGTATGCTCAAATAAATTAATTATGTACTTGCTTACCGCAACACTTCGCTCATTTCCTTGCGCATTGACAGTACGCTTGATTTCATGCCAAAGCTTTTCATCGCCTCATTAAATGTAAACAAGTACTTCGTTAGTAATTAACTGCATCCATGCATTAAGAAAGTACTTTTTTGTGTTTTTTGTTTGTGTTCCTGTAGAACGTTTTTTAAAAACTGTATATTGAATGGGAAATATTATATATTCGAGTAGCGTGTGGAACAAACCTATTGTATGATAATAAATTTAAAACAAAAACAACAACTTCCATTTCTAAAAATCTCCCAACAGATTGCTTTTAACTGGAGGTGTGAAAATATTTTTTGGCCCTTCGAATAGAAAAGAAACCCCTTTTAGTAAATTTCCGGAAGAATGTGTAGTTTTGATTGCAACTTCTATAAGGCACGCCTGATCAATTTTCCAAGATTTTGAATTAGTGTAAAGGTGGCCCTGATCCCTGAAGAAACAGAGCTACTCATGCTTACACAGAAAATTTTATACCAATAAGCCTAATTTGTATTTCTTATTGACATTCTAAAAGGATAATTAAATTTACATATCCGACTTCATGCATACCCATTAAAGTGGTTCAAAAATGTATGTAAAAAAAAATAAGGTCG